TCAGTCGTCGGCCGTCGGCGTCACCTTGTCCTCGGCTTGACGGGCCCCTCAGATCCAGCTGGCGCGAACAACATTTGGCGACGGCCTGTTGTTTGACGTCTTCGGCAGCTGGGGGTCGTCTCTGGGCCGCCTCTGGGCCCCAGGGCCGCTAGCAGCAAGAAACGCCGGCCCCCTTTGAAGAACGTCGATGTTTCCAGGGGCCCACCTAGCGAGGTGCCGCCGATGCTCGAGCAGTGGCGAAGCGTCCTGTCTTGCCTACAGGCCCACCGCAGAATGTTCTAAGCAGCCTTTGTGGTCTGCACGAACTGTTCTTCGAACATTTCGGGCGGAGGCTGTCTTGCCTTGACACATCGGGTTTGTCTCTATCGAGGATCTATCGCCGATCTATCAGCGATGTCTTGCCGATCCCAGGCCGACGCCTCCTCCCCCTGATAGCTGGCCCTCCTCGAGCGAAAGGCCGACCCATCGGCGATGTACTGCAGATTCCATGTCGATGCTTCCCCCCTGAGTCGCTCCCCCCCCTGGCTCCCCAAACCTCCGACGTCGTGATTTTTTCACGACGTCGACCCCCAGAGGTCTGGACCCATTCCCCAGGACCGGTTTTTCACCCCGAGTCGTTTTTTTAGGCTCCCGGGGCCCAGTGAAGACCCCCAGGGGCCGAAAATAGCGAAAAACCTCCCGTCGTGACTTTTCCACGACGCGAGGAGGTCTGGGCCTGCCCCTCAGGCCGAGGCCCCCCTGCCGCCGCTCGGCGACCCCGCGGCGCCGCCGCCGCGGGCGCCGGGCGGCGGCGCGACCCCCGCGCCGGCGGCGGCCGCCCGGCTCTTCGCGGAGGCAGTGCGGCGCTCGGCGGCGGCAGGCGCCGCCGCGCGGGGGGGCCAGCGGAGGCCTGCCTTCTGCGGCGCCGCGGCACCGCGGCCTCCTGGCGCTCGCGTGCTGCTGCTCGCTGCTCCTGCTCCTGCTGCCTCCTCCTCGTCGGCCTCCTCCATATGCTGCATGCTTTCTTCTCCGTTCGCCTCCGTGCTCCTCTTGCGCCTCCCCCTCCTCCTGTCTGCGCTGGCCGGGCTTGAGCAGCGGGGCCGCAGCGTGGTCCTCCACCTCGAGGCGTGCGCCCTCCTCCTGCCTCCTCCGCCTCGAGGCATCCGCACTGTCCCTGCCCTCCTCCCACTTCCTCCCAACACTTGCGGCCTCCTCTTCCCCCTCCCGTCCAGCACTATGGCCGGCAGCCCGCGCGGCGGCCAGGCCGCCGCGCGGCGCCCAGGCCGCCGCGCGGCCTTCCAGATTGCACGCGTGCCCCGTCTAGGGGCTGCGAGGCGGAGGGCCCAGGGCAGTGGCACCGCTGAGCCCCCACTATCGGGCCCTGCTTCGGATAGTTTATGCATATATGTACATCTATGTGTATGCCTGTATGTATGTGTGTGGGTGTGTATATATAGTTTGTGTATATGTATATATATATATATACAAACTATATATATATATATATAATATATATATATATTATATATATATTGTAATGGCCTACGGTCAGTGCCGCCGATCCGGGGGGCTCCTGATTCGATGATCTTCGCGGCTCTGTGGCCTCCTCCCTCCTCGATTCTTCCGGTCCTCTTTCTTCTCCTCCGTGGGCGTGCCTGGAGCGGTCCCGGGGGTGGTCCGGGGAGGGTTCCGAGGGGAGGGTCCGAGAGTCGGTCGAGGCTAGGTCTGAGGGGGGTCCCTGGGACCCCCCGAAACATTTTAGAAATGCGACCCCCCTGCCTCCCCTCTTCCCAGGGGTGGTCCGGACGCGCAAAGTATGCAGAAAACGCCAGATGGGGGACCGCCCCCCCCGTTCCCCGGCAGAGCCACCCCGGCGACCCCCCCCAAGCAGAGCTGATGCTCTTGCTTCGGCTCAAGCTGAAGCTCTTGCCGAGGCTCCTTGTATTTCACTCGCCGTGTATCGGTGGGTGTTATATATATATATATATATATAATTTCCAGCATCCTGGTTAAGGGGAGCCGGTTAGTGAGCCCCGAGGTCCCCCAAAAGGCACCACAATCATTAAGCCAAGTTTGCCGTAGCTGGTGCTTCTGCGGGTGACGGGAGGTCCCGTCATTGGAATGAAGGGGGCTGGGGGAGGAAGCGGGGGTCGCCCCCCTGAATACACCACCAAACTGCGTCCCACGAAGCCCAGTCCCGCCGACGCCCGACTGCTGCCGATCGCAGGCAGTCGCGCAGGGCCCGGCTGGGCAGGAGGCCCGTCGTGGCACCGGTCAGCCGCGTAGCCGCCGTGCCGCTCGCGGGCCGCGTGGCGGCGCGACGTCTCATGAGCAGGCCGTGTCGTGAGTTTTGTTCCTCCTCTCGCGGGGACGGGGTGCATGCGGCGCCCCCGACAGGCGTGCGCGCGCGCGCGTGGTGGCCCGCCGCGCAGGGGGTGCGGCGCCGCGGCCGCAACCAGTGGCGGAGGCATCGGCGGGCGATGTGCGCGTGTAGGGGCGCCACTGGCGGGATGTTTCGGGTCGCTCGGGCGGCGTACATGTTTTTGCTTATCGCGTACACCCAGCAAGCAGGAGCGCTGTGCATCCTGAGGGCCGCGTGGGCTGGTCTGCAACGACGCTCATGGCTCGTGGCGCCTGCCGCGAAGCAGTGTTACCGAGCAGTCGCAGGGAGACTTGCAGGGGGATCGTGTCATGCCATGTGTGCGTCTGTAACCACATTCTTCTGAGTTGCGGTTGGGCCACTTTCTTGGCAGCTGGCAAGAGATTTCGGAGACTTCTGGGAACTTCGGAGAGGAGGCCGGCGGAAGCCGTCGGCAAGACGCCCGCGAGGCGGCGGCGGGCCGGCCGCCACGAGGCGGAGCCGGCTGGAGCAGGCCGCCACGAGGCGGCGGCGGTGGAGCGCGTCTGCACGTCTTCGGCGCGGCGGCGGCGGGCGCCGTCCCACCGCACGAAACCGAAACGCGCACGGGGAATGGGCGTCCGAGCGATGGCAACGGACTGGGGGCGGCGGTGCGCTGGGCAACTGGCGTTGCGCTGGGCAGCTGAGCAGCTGCCCGGCGCCTGGCATGTGTCCAGCTGTTCAGTGCCGGCGGCGGTGCGCTGGGCAGCTCTGGCGGTGCGCGGCGGCGGAGCTGTCGCCAGATCTCGGCGGCGCCGCTGCGGGCGCCGCAGCGTGCTGTGCGGGCTGTGCCGCCGGAGGCGCGCGGGGGCTGCGAGGACGCGCTTCTGGAGTCATGGGGCAACGATGTAAGTCGAGCAGTTGCGAAGCGTCCTGGCTTGCCTATAGGCCTACCAAAGAACCTCTTGTGGTCTGCACGAGATGGTCTTGGACCATTCCTGGCTGAGGCTGTCTTGTTTTAGTTCATCGAGTTCATGGTTTATGGAACTTGCTGTTGTTCTCAGAATACCTGTTGGTTATGAGGAGATTTCGGGGTAACGCTTGTAGGAATACTGGGACGGTCCGTCCCTGCTCAAGGAAGGGGGGACAGGCTCAGGGGGAGATGCATCGACCCCCAGTCACCCGTTGATCGCCGCTAGGGGCCAGATAGCCCACCCCGCCCAGGAGCGTGCGGAGCTGCAATCGGGGGCCGATCGCCGAGCTATCGGCGACGCGTCGCCGATGCCAGCTCGATGTTTACCCCCTGAGCCAGTCCACCTCTCATGCAGTGGCGAAGCGTCCTGGCTCGCCTATCGACCTACCAAGCAATGTTCTAAGAACTTGTTGTGGTTTCCACGAAATGTTCTTAGAACATTTCTGACGGAGTCTGTCTTGTGTTCTCACATCGTGCTTATAGTATAAGAACATTGCCTTTGTTCTTGGAACATTTTTGGGTTCTAAGAACATGTCGTGGTAGGACTTTAGGAATGCCGGGACGGTCGATTCCTGCTCACACCTCTCTCGCTGTCCCTCGTGCGGGCGTGGTCGCGGGCCGCGCGTCGACGTCCCTGGGCATCCCATCGCTGGGGCGCTGCGCCCGGCAGCTGCTGCTGCCGCGGCGTCGCCGCCCGCCGCTCTTGGCGGCGCCCTGCGGGCGCCGCCACCGCCCGCGTTGGGGCTGCGTCGCGGGGGGCGCGCTGACGCTGCGCGGCCTCCCGCTGGCGGGGGGGGGGCCCTGGCGTGCAGCCGACAAGCGTCTTTCTCCGCCGCCGCCCGCGTTGGGGCTGCGTCGCGGGGGGCGCGCTGAGGCTGCGCGGCCTCCCGGTAGTGGGGGGAGGGCTGGCGTGCAGCCGACAAGCGCCTTGCTCGCAGGCTCGCCCTGCCGCTCGCGGCTGGCTGCCCGCGCGAGCCTGCATGTGCTCCAGCACACCCGTGCAAGATCTTCACGGTCTGGGCGTGCTCCGCCGCCGGCGGCCTCCTTCCCCCCTCTGCGAGCCGTTTCCTGCTTCGGTTTGGCCCGATTCGGCTGGGGCGTGTCCTCCGCTGCCCCGACCCGCGGCTTGGTCCCAGGTCGCCGCGGCCTTCCCGCTTGCGGCGACTGGCAGTCCCTGCCAGTCGAGAACCCAGCACGCCGTTCCCTGTCAGGTTGTACTGCTCGAAGAGGCATGGCCCCGATGGTCGCGGGCCGCGCGTAAATGCCCCTCGGCATCCAGTGGTAGATGGTGCTGCACTTGGCCTCCCTCGAGCTGCGATTGCGCCCGTGGCGCGCGCTGGCGGCGCTGCCCCGCAGCTCGCCATGGTCTTGCCGCAGAGTCGGGCTCGGGGGCGTCCTCGACGGGCGTTTCTGCCTCCCTCGACGCTCGGGTGCCCTGCGGCCCCCCCGTGCCCGTGCCCCCCCCCTGGGGAGCTTCCCATCCCGTGGGGGGAAGGGATACCGATACCACCAGCCTGCCCTCGTCGCCACGGCGGAGTTCGCCTCGGCGTCCCGGTCCGAGCGCGCCCCCTGGAGAGGGTCGGGGAGTAGCGGCTCTGGCCAGGAGCCCGGAGCGCGCCGAGAGACCTGCCCGAGGCCTGGAGGCACCGATCCCGCCCCTCCTGGCCCGCTTCCTCCCTGTCTCCCCCCGGGCCGCCCGCGGGCACGTCCTGGCTCGAGCCGCTCTGGCTTGAAGAGAAGACTCGCTGCAGGCGCGCTCCGAGCCACGGCGATCTCTACCGGCCCTGCGGCCATGGCACCGCGCCGCCCCGGCCGCGCCCTCCTGGCCGTCGCGGCCGCGGCGTCCGCCGCATGGGCGGTCCGCACCACGTTCGTGCCTTCGCCACAGGCCTCGCGGGCCATGGGCGAGCTCCGCCCCGTGCTCGCCGTGAGCGCCGCGCTGCCGGCGCTGACGCTGCTGGCCGAGGACGCGGAGGCCAAGTACGGCGACCAGAGGCCAGGGGGAGGAACATCGCAGAAAAAAACACAAACATAAACTGTTGGCGCTCTGCGCGGATTTCTTGGATCCGCGCTTGGCCCCCCCCCCCCGGCGGCGCCTCCGGCGCCGCCCCTTGCGCGCTCCGCGCGCCAGGGAAGGGGGTCCAGCGTAGGTCCAAGAAATCTGCGCGGAGCGCCAACAGTTTATGTTCATGCTGTCTTATTTACGTCTAGAAAAGGTACGGTTGGTACGTTGGTTCAGGAATGTGCCCAGGAAGCTTCAGACCCCGGGGGATTCCTGAGCTGATGAGCGCGGCGGCGATGCTCAGGGCCAGTACACGATTGGAGTTCCGCCGGCTTCCAGGCTCTGCCTTCCTTGTCCAATGGCTCCTAATCCAAAGCCCTCACCGTATCGATACCGCTCCCTCAGGCCCAGGCGCCGCATTATCTCGCACCGCGCGTTTTCGCCCCGTTTCGAGCCCGTGGGTCGTCACGGAACCATCGGGCCCGACAAACATGTAGGAGAGATGGGTTCCGGGGCTTTGGTCTCGGTTTTTGTTCGCGATGTTGCACGTGCGTCGCAGCGTCGGATCTCAGGTCTACCCCTCCCTCTCGCGCCGAGCGCCTGGCCCGAGCGCGCCCCAGGAGAGGTTCGTGGCGCAGCGGTATATCAGTATCCCTTTGCCCCCCCCCCACCCCGAGAGGAAGTGGCATTCCGTCTTGGTGCCGCTGACCACCCTGATCGTCCCTGGCATCGCGTTCGCGGCCTTCCTGCTCTACACCTTCTCCGACGACTTCGCCTGGCAGCTCAACCCGAACGCGCCGAAGAACATCGAGAAGCAGGCCCAGTACGACATGGTCCCCGCCTGGAAGAACCGCAGCGATCCTTTCAGGGGTCTGTTGAACAAGGATGACTTCGAGAAGGGCCTGGAGGAGGCCTGGGAGAAGGCCAAGCCGGCGGGCAGCACCGTCACGGTTAAGCAGAAGCTGGCCGAGATGTCCACCCAGAACAACCCCCATTTTATGGAGAACAAGCTGGCGAAGCTGAGGATGAAGGCGAGGGCGGCGCTGTCCGCCTGATTCAAGGCAGGGGGGAGGAGATGGAGGAGGTGATTCTAGAAGCCTGCGCGCGAGCATGGATTCTCGATGTCGTCGACGCCGCTCACAGAGGCGACTGATGGAAACACCAGGCTTTTACCCCCCTCTGGGCCCACGAGCTGGCCGGGATCGGCGTGGTCCCCCGAAACGCCGCTCGCAGCATGTCAGATTGCTTTTGGCACCGACAGAGATCTCGGCGCTGGCCTTCCCAGCACGTGAGCGACGCAGAAACACGGGGTCGTTGTCACCGACGTTGGTGCGTAACCTGCCCGCGTAAGGTCGCGCGTAGTGGGGGGGGCCGCCGGGCAACGCCTCTCTGGGGATCCCAAGGTGGGGCGCCCTCCGCTACGGCGTCGGGCGCCAGCCGACAGGCCCCCGGCCCCGAGGAAGCGAGGGTCCGCGGGCATTGCTCGTGAACTATGAAGGCCGCGCCGCGGGGCTCGGCTGGCCAGGCGCTCCGATTGAGCCAGGCATGAAAGGAGAGTGTGAGGAGGCGGAGGAGGAGGAGGAGGAGGAGGAGGAGGAGGAGATCCGCCGCGGGCGCCCTGCCCCCGCCGCGGCGCGCATTTTTTAGAAGAGCTCCTTGCGCTCAAGCAGGCGGCGCTGGTCGCGCACGGCCGTCAAAAGACACCCTCGTCCTCCTCGTCTCTCGGGGGTTGCTACATGTGCCCCTGGCCCAAGGTGCCCCAGCTTCTCGCTTTATTTGGGGGCCGTCTGGGCCTCGTGAGGGGTTCTCTGGAGGCCGTAGGGGCCTCCTTGAAAATCCTGGGGGCACCTTGGGCCAGGGGCGCTTCTAGCAACGCCCGAGCCTCGCCATGAGGGAAAACCAGATGTCCGACGATATTGCTTGTTTTGTCAATCGCGGCGGTTTCCCTTCATTTTGACCTCTGAGGTCTGCTATCGGGCCCCGGGACCCTCATACATGGATCCAGGACAAATAGGAATACCCCCGAGAGAAGGGGTCGGGGCTCCTCGGGCCGCGAACGGAAGCAACTATACTGTTGGATGTCCGGGATGGCGTCCTGAGGGAAACGGGTCCAGGAGGCCCCCTCCCCCACTGCATGCTGATGTGGAACGTCTGTGATGGCATCCGGCAGTCGTAACCAATGTGTGACGTTCCAGATCAGCCGCGCGTTGAACACAGCAACGCTGCATCGCTAGATGTCTGGGAATCTTTGGTTGACCCAAGAAGGGGGTCCAGCCGAAAGAGGGTGGTGCAATAGATTTGATGCAATCGATGTGTGGGGTTGCACTAGATCTTGGGCGTTCCGTACTGGATGCAATGCAATGCGATTCTCTGGCGCACTGATTTTGCCATACAGTTGCCCCCAAGCCTGTTGCACCACCCCCTTTTTCAGCTGGACCCCCTTGTGGCCAACCAGAGAGAGGGGGGGGGGGGGTCCGAGGGAAAAGCGGGCCCCGGAGGCTCTCGGGGGGCCGCTCTCGGGGGGCTCCCGTGGGGCCCCCTCTCGTCGGGCCCCTCTGGGGCCTGCCGAACGGGACGACTCTCGGGGGGGGGGGGGGGGGGGGGGGGGAGGGTTGGTTCCAGGGTGGCGGCCCCTCGTGCCTCATGTCTCAGGAGGGGAAAAAACACACAGACACAATGAATTGTCGATCCCCAGGAAAATATCGGAAAGTATGGGAAGTGGTGGGGAAGACAAAAACCCAGAGAATATAGGAAAATATGGGGCATCTTTTTATTTGTGTGTATTTATTTGTGTGTCCCAGTTTCCCTTCAATGTCGGCGGCGGGCGAGGTGGGGGGAGGGACGTGCGAGCGAGCAGGCCCTCTCAGAAGGCGGCGGGGCCTCTCAGAAGAGAAGGTTTTCTCTGGCTTCGGGGAAGGCGGAGGGAACTTTTCTCGGGAGGCCTCGGGGGGGGCTTCCGAGCCTTCTGAGAAGCCGAGAATTAAGGCCCTCTCCCCCTCGCTTCCCCCCGGGCTCGCCGCCGATCATGGAGGAGGGGTGCGTCGCAGTCTCCCGCCTCCCTCGCTGGGCTTCCAGGGCCCTCGTCGGGCCCCAGGGCCGTCAACGGGAAGACGCGGGGCGGAGAGGCGGTCCCAGGGGGATGCTCTTGTTTCCGTGTGGGGGGGGGGGCCACGGTTTGCCTTCGTGCCTCATGGAGGAGGGGCCGGTCCACTCGGCAACATGTGTATACCATGCCCAACCGGCCCTGGGTGGCGGGCGAAGGTCGGGGTCGTGGGATGCAGGCTTCCCTCCCTGGGGCGTGCTCTTTGTATACTGCAAGGGGCCCCTGGCGATGGAATCTGACTGGGGCGGGGAGGGGGTGGTGTGCAAACGAATTATGAGGAGTCGGTCACAGTCCCCCGCCTCCCTTGCTCTTCGGACTGGCCGTCAGGATGCTTCGAACTCGGACTGCGCATCGAGTCCTCTACTCGTCCTCCTTGTCATGCCCCTGCTCTGAAGTCCTCGGTCGTGGGACTCTTGTTTCACGCAGCCGGTTAGCCTTCGCGGAGCATGCCCCCCAAAAACACTGCCTCCGAGGCCGCAGACGACCGCAGAAGGCCGACGGGCAGGAACGGGGTCCATGGCGGAACGCGCCACTGCAGATCCTCTTCACCTCGGGGGTTGCTAGAACGGTGCCCCTGGCCCAAGGTTCAAGTCGGGCATGTACCTCTACAGTGGGAATATTCAAGAATTGTCAGGGGACGATTTTTCGAATATTGTGTTGTTTGAGCCTTGTTGGAGTGCTTTTGATTTTCCCCCAACAGCATCCGCCTGCAGAAGGACATGCCCGACCGAACCCAATGCCCCCAGCTCTTCGCTCAGTCCTGAAGCCCCCGGGGCCCCCTGGGCCTCGCGAGGGGTGCTCTGGAGGCCGCGGGGGCCTCCCTGGAACTGATGGGGGCACCCTGGACCAGGGGCACTTCGGGCAGCACCCCGTCGTCTTCCTCATCCGAGATCTGCCCGAAGCGGCTGTGGCCGAGCACCCATTCTGCACTGCGCCGGCAGGCGTGCGCAGCGCGGGTCGTTCCTCCCAACTTCTCCATCCTCCGTCGGCACCCCTCGCTCGCCTGCGCCCTCGCGCGCCTCGTCGTGTCCGTAGCCATTGTGGCTCGAGTGTTCACCTGGCCTCGGACCGTCGGGCCGTTTTCTGACTTGTGCGCGGTGGTAGCTGCAGCATGACAGTGCCTGCTTGCTGGAATGGGCCCCTGAGGAGGTCAGCGGTCAGGTCGTACCCTGCATTCTCACCAGGGCGACCCTGCTGGAGGCGCAGTTGGTTCTGCTCTCCGGCCACGCGGCAGGGGCACGGAGACGGTGGCCACGGTCAGGGCCTGACTGCAGACATAGAAGCAGAGATAGAAGATGATGGCCTCCGCAGGAAGGCCACACGAGTGACTTGGCTGGGGGTCGGAGCAAACGTTTGTCTGACAGGGCTCAAGGGTGCTGCGGGGTACGCCTCTGGAAGCACGGGCCTGATGGCGGACGCGGTGCACAACATGACGGACCTCGCCGGAGACGCCGTGTCGCTTCTCACTCTGCGGGTGGTCGCCGCGCCTGCTGACGAGAAGTATCCGTATGGATACGGGAAGTACGACGCTGTCGGGACGCTGGGGGTCGCTGGGATTCTCCTGGTCACCGCAGGTGAGATACTTCACCAGTCGCTCGAGTCTCTGCTAGAGGTTGTTCGGGGAAACCCGTGTGGGCTGCAGATGGCTCCGATGGCGCTGGGAGTTGCTGTCGTGTGCGTTGCCGTGAAGGAAATTCTCTTCCGCATAACCCTGCGAGTGGGGAAAGAGGCCCGATCATCTGTTGTCATCGCCAACGCCTGGCACCATCGAAGCGATGCTCTCTCCTCGTTAGTTGTCATGGGCGGCATCGGAGGCGTCATGGTCGGGCTGCCGTACATGGACGCCGTCGGTGGGGTGATGGTGGCCGGCTACACGGCAAAGCAGGCGGTTGAGATCGGATGGGGCGCAGTGAAGGGATTGACGGACCAGCAGACGGACACGCGGCTTCTTCACGGCATCAGAGAGGTCGGTGACAAGCTTATGGTCGGAGGGATCATCACTGGATTGTCCAAGGTGCGGGTCCGGCACTTCGGTGCCTATTGCCTCGTGGACTTGAACGTGATCGTCGACCCGTTTCTCTCAGTCGGAGACGCGCACAAGCGAACAAAGATTGTGCGCAGGGCGATTCAGCTGGAGCACCCGGAGGTGCACGAAGTCCTGGCGCACGTTTGCCCCTCGGACGTCCAGCACGACTGAGCGGGGTGGAGCGCTGCTCGAGGCCTCTTGGTCTGCTGCAGCTTTGCCCTGCCGGCAGAGGTGCCGCACCTGGGCCGGGGGGCGAGGATCCTGCCGGAAGCCTGGCGGATCGAGCCTCTGGGCGGCGAGCGTGGGCGGCGCGCCGCAAGGGGGCCGGGCGTGGGGGCGAGCGTCGGTGGAGCGAGAGGTCCTGGCGCAGTGAGCGGGCGGGGCGTGGGGGCGAGCGTTCGATGAGCAAGAGGCCATGGGCATGATACGTTTCAAGTTTCCCAGGTGTTCAGCATGTCTTCCAATACTACCTTGCTTTCCACACGGGTTCCCCTCCTTGGAGCACTTGGAACGTGTCCTGAGCCAGTGGTATCATGAGGGCGTCGTCGTCCTGAACGGGGGGTGGTGTCCCCCCGCCTCTCAGCAGCACCCCCTTGCCTTCTAAAGAGGCCTTCTTCAAGGCCTCTTTGGAGGGGCCCTGCCCCTTCGAAGAAGCGCCCCCCCCCCCCTGCCCACTCGTAGAAAGCCACCCCGCTCGCCCCGCCCCTCTTGTGTGCGCCCCGCCGAAAGGAGATCGGACCCACCAGCGGCCTCGTGATCTTCGCGGGTAGGGTGTCCGTCCGGAGCGTCGTGCCGTCATTCTGCAAGGCTATGGCTCGCCCCTCCCCGCTGCAGGGGAGTCCTGCGTCTTCGCCGTTTGTCGCCCGGTGTTTGTTTGTCCTGGGTGCAGGGTCCAGGACCCGCTTCGCTGAAGACCCCTTTGCTCAATGTCAAATCGTCTTTCTGTTGAGATCCGACGTCGCGAAACTTGCACCATCGAACAAACAAAAAACAAGTCGACCGGAGCCCTCGACCCCATCTTGCTACAGCCAGATCGATCCGCGAAGGTCCCGGGGCCACACACAGACACACACGAAATGCAGAGCACGACGTCGGGAAGGTCGGAGTAGCATGGCCTTCTGCGTCCGAGGACCGTCGACGGCCCTCGGGAGATCTCGGGGTGGAGGACGGGAGCGCCACACCCGTTTTGGGCACGGGCCAGACCAGGCAGCGGCCCCCCCTCGCGGGGCTCGCGACGAGCGGCGCGAGGAGCTCCACCCGCATCGCAGGCGACCATGACGGTCAAGACATGGACACGAGGACCAGTTTGTGCTCAGGAGAGGCTCCCGGTCCTTCCTTACAGTCGGCCCGGATTGGTAGGTCGACCCTGCCAAGTCAAGGGCGCCCTTGTGTCCGGTGTCCCGCGACCCATGCCTCCTGCATTCCCGTGGCAGAGTGCCCCTCGGAAAGGGTCTCTTGTCCTACCGCGTGCCCTCTCCAATCAAGCCCGACTGTATGCCTAGGTCGAGGAGCGTATTCTTTTCCGAGGCTCACCGTGGCCAGAGAAGTCCGGTCTTTCCGTCTCTGGTGCTCCTTGTCATTTGTTGTGTTTTTTTTTTTTTTCTCTTGATCCAAGCAGCACTTTGCTTGCAACAGAAGCAAGAACAGGCACACACACCAAGCATGTGGCGTTCCCTCTTCGTGGTGGCTGCATGCCCTCGGCGCTTCGGCCCCGGAGCCTGCTTTCCAGTCCCTTGCGCGACCGCGGCAGTCACCAGCGGGGGGGTGGAGGGGGAGGGGGGGAGAGGGGACGGGGCCGGTGGCGTAACGAGGCGCGCAGGTCGGGGCTCAAGAGACAGGAAGGGAAAAACACGCACACAGACACAATTGATCGTCGATCCCCAGGGAAGTATTGGAAAACATGGGAAGTGGGGGGGAAGGCAGAACAAAAACATAAAATCTGGTAAATGTAGGGAATCCTGTTATTTGTGTGCATTTGGTTGTGTGTCCCATGGCTTCTTTAAAGAGACGGGGATCAGTGCAAGCGGCGGTCAGCCAGAGCGCCAGACCTGTCGGGATCCTGCAGAGACAGGGTCGCACCAGCCCGGGTTTGGGTGCAGGATCCTGCAGGATTCTGGTGGAGTGTTGCAGGATCCTGCCAAGCCCGCTTGACCCAGGTCAGGATTGACCCTGGTCAGTCCATCCCCGAGCTGATGCCGTCTGGAACTCGGCTACCATTAGCCTTTCCTAGATGGCGCTGGCGCAGATCATGGCCGTCTCAGTGGGGCGGGGGAGGCGGGCGGGCGTCCCCGCTCGCCGGCGTTACCGCGTATCGTGTGAGAGCGCACCCTCAAGAAGAAGAAGAAGCAAACAACGAAGGCGCAAATTGACAAAGAAATCAGAATCGGCCTCGCGCGAATCCTTGAGCTGAATCAGAGAAGCAGGAACGCATATAAGCGTGAGCTGTTGGAGGTCCGCGCGGTCCTCCGAGAGTTCCTTCTATGCAGCAGGCTGTCTGTTCCTCTCCGTAGTGCAGGCCCCCAGTCCCGACTCCTGGTCGTGCCGTGCGCGGCGCGTTCCCGAGTTCGGCGCGGCGCGCGAACGGCAGTGCAGATGCGAGCGGAGGGCTCGGGACCACCTCGCCTGCAGCGTGCCGGAGCTGTTTCACCACCTGGGCCGGACTGGAGGTCAGCCTCTGGGGCAGCGATCGGGGGTGTAGGCTCAGGGGGGGACACATCGACCCCCAATCGCCCATTCATCGCCGATAGAGGCCCGATGGCCCGCCCTGCTCGGGAACGTGTGGATTCGCTATTGGGGCCTATCGCCGATCTATCGGCGGTGTTCATCGAGGATCAAAGAACCCCCAACCCTAATAACAGAGTGAAGACGCGGCCTCACTGAGGGCCCCGTCCTTGCATGAGGGATAATTGACAATTCTCGGCGGTTTTTGGTCTGGCACATCTGCAGAGAAAGACCCCCATATGCCTGATATTTTTGGCCCTCTTAACTTATTGGGTCCCCTCCCAAAGGGTTAGGGGTCCTTGTGGTCAATCAGACGTGCCGCCGATTCCAGTTCGACGTTGGCCCCCCCCCCCCCGAGCTGGTCCCTCCGCCGATTTCCGGGTCCTATCTCGGGTCTCCGGCGGCCGCTCGGGGGGATGCGTGGGCAGCCCCGGCATGCCCTCGGCGAGGCGCAGCCGCTGGAGCGCACCCCGCGGCTGGCGAGCGTCCAGGGACGGGCGAAAACGTCCGGGAGCCTCGAGCCTCGGAGCCCGTCTCGTCCGCCCCTGAGCCGGAGTCCCCCCCCCCCCCCCTGGCGCTGCCCCGTCCTGCTGCGGCTCGCGGCCCGGCAGGTCCAGGCGTGCAGGGCCTCAGCCCAAGAGGTCGGGCGCACCGGCAGAGCGGGGGCAACAGGGACGTGGCGGGTGGCCCCGGAGGAGCCCCGCGCGGCCCCGAAGACTGCCACCGCAGGCCCAAGCTGAGAACGAAAGGTGCACGTCCTCCCCCCCCCCGTCCTCCCCCCCCCCCCCCCCCACCCCCCCCCCGCTTATTGAGCGGGATGGGTTTTTAAGAATGATGAGTGCCCCCCCCCCCCCCTGAGCTCTCGGCGGGGAAGAGAAACTCGTCCCTCCTCCTCCTCCTCCTCCTTCCCCTCCCTCCTCCTCCCCCTCCCTGGGGCGGCGGCGACTCCAGCGGAGGCCTGTGCGGTGGCCGCCGCGGGGGGGGTTCCAACTCTTGTGGGGGCCCCAATCCGTCAAGAAGCCCGCTTGCCCGGGGGTTTGTCCAAGACCCTGCGGGGTTCTTTTGTTCGCCCGTGGGTGGGCGCCCGAGATGGCATATGGCAAGGACTGCCCCTGGGCGCGCACAGAGAGAGGGGGAGAGAACGAGCACGGGCCGGGGCGCGGTCTCATCGCCGCGGAGGGGGCCATGAGCCCCACGGAGGCCCAGAGCCCCACGGATGGAGAACTCGGAGGGAGGAGAAGCGATACCAACACCACCAGGGGGCCCACCTCCAGCGAGGAGGTCCACAGTGCCTCCCCGATCGAGAGACTGGGGATGTCTCGAGCGAGAGGGGGGGACCACACCACCAGGTAGGCTCCCCTTACCTCCGCGCATCTCCTCGCCATGTTGGTGTTGGTGTCGCCTTTCCTTGTTCCTAGAGAACAGGCTGGACGTCGGAGCTCTTGGGCTCTTCTAACCGCGAAGGGCCTTCAGTGTTGAGGACGCCCCCACCCGAGCCCTCGGCGGGGAATAGAAGCTCGTCCCTCCTCCTCCTCCTTCCCTTCTCTCCTCATTCCCCTTCCTCCTTCTCCTCCTCCGTCTCCTCCTCCGTCTCCTCCTCCTCCTCCTCCTCCTCCTCCTCCTCCTTCCCCGCGGGTTGCGAACAGCCAGGACGTCGGAAAAATTGGGCTCTTCTATCCGAGAGAGGCAGTGATACTCCCCCAATACGGGATAACCGATTATTTTTTCGGCGGCCTTGTTCACGGACTGCGGTCCCACCAATAGGGGGTAACTCGTTTTTTTTCCGCGGCACCAACCGCGAATCAACGATGACGACATTTACGATCACGATTGCGACTTCGACCACGACGACTACGAGTCCTTCTGCCTCTGGAGCGCTCTTTCAGAACATCACACCTCAGGAGGAGATTTTTTGACCACTCCTGTTCACCGCCGAGTGAAAAAGGGGGGGCCAAACTAAAGAGCCCCTTCGGTTGCACCCAGCACAACACTTAAGAACAAACAGGCATCAACTTTCATGGAGGTTCCGCTTGAGAGAACCAGGATTCTGGGCTGGACCTTGGGCGTTTTCTTGTGGCTTCTTTTTGCGTAGAGTGGTCGTTCATCTGGACCTGGACAACTGTTTAAGAAAACGCTTCAAATGAAGTCCCTTCTCTTAGCCTCGAGCTTTCTTAGCTCTCAGCCGGGGTGTACCCGCTCAAGCTCCGCTCCCGCTAATGGGCCACGACCCGTGCCCCCCTTTCTTGTGCTGGCGCGTCCTCGCCAGGCCTCCCGGACTGGGATCCGAGCAGATAAGGGCGGAAGTTCGCGCCGCATCGCCGATGCATCGGCGATGAGGCTCGACGTGGAGCCCGATTTTCTCCACGCCGATGGATGTTCCGACCCCATTCATTCGGGCCCCCTTTGGGAGGTCTCTATCCGCGTCTTCCTGGCTGCATGCTCTCGTTCTTGTGCCGCTTCCCCCGTCTCCCCCCATCCGAGACCGAGAGACCGCTTCCGCACTCGGGGACTTCCCACCCCGGCTGTTTCTGTTGCCTGCCTTGTCTGCGTGGACAGGGCAGCACAGGCCAGCCAGCTCTGAGGAGCCCTGGCCGCGGGATTGCGGTCAAGACACTGAGACTAGAACCGCTCAGGGTTCAGCAGGGGCTCTGGTTCCCCAGCCTCTCCCTCGGCTTAGGTCGGGGAACCTCTTCGTGGCCGAGCCCCGCTGCGGCCAGAGAAGACGCACCAGCGCTCCGTGTTGTATCACGATGACTGTACCGATACCCCCCTGCCCATGGCGGAACCGTGGGCAGTTTATAATTCCCTGGCTCACAGGTCTCCTGGGGACCATCGTCCCCATGGGCGGGTCATCCTCATCCTCCTATCCGCCGACGTCACATTTTTTGCTGTAACCTGGGCCCCGGGGATCACCGCCCCCCCCCCGAAGACTTCGTTTCCGTTCCCGGGCCGTTTTTTGACCGCCCCGGGTCCCAGGGACGGCCTGCGCGGAGGCCAGAGTAGACAGCACACCAGCCGCCGCGATTTTTCGGCGGTCGGCGTCCCCCAGCCCCAGACCTGCCCTGGGGCGGCCGGCGTCCGCCGGCCGGCTTCGGCTTCTGGCGGCGCGTCGTCGTCGTCGTCGTCGGCGGCGGCCCAGGTCTCAGGGTCCCCCCATGCCCCAGGCCCGCCAAGGTTTTCCGAGGCGGACCCAGCCGCGGCAACGAGAGGCCTCCTGGGGGCCTTCGACAAAACCCCACACGACCAGAACCCGCCAACCTCGCCATCGAATCCGGAGACCTCCTCCCTCCTCCTCCTCCTCCTTCTCCTCCTCCTCCTCCTCCTCCTTCTCCTCTTTTTCCTCTTCCTCCTCCTCCTCCTCCTCCTCCTCCTCCTCCTCCTCCTCCTCCTCCTCCCCTCTCCTCCTCTCCGCCTCCTCCTCCTTCTCTTCTACCTTCTTCGTCCCTCCTCCGCCTCCTCCTCCTTCTATTCTACCTCCTCCTCGTCCTCCTCCGCCTCCTCCTTCTCTTCTACCTCCTCCTCCTCCTCCTCCTCCTCCTTTTCCTCCTCCTCCTCCTCCTCCTCCTCCTCCTCCTCCTCCTCCTTCTCCACCTCCTCACCACTCGGCATGCGAGCGCCCATTCGCGGTGCTTCTGTGCACGCGCGCGCACGCATACAGCAGGTTGTGCGCGCTTGTCCGAGCCTTGTTGGTTTGTTCGGTCAGCTGTGTGGCTTGAGGGTTCCTTACGCCTCGTCCCCTGCTCTTGGGCGGCCGTCCTGCTGCGGCTCCTTCTGTTCCTTCTCCTGCTCCTTCTCCTGCTGATCATTATCGTCCTGCTCTCCCATCCATTTTCTCATGAATCTCTCCTTCCTTTGGCACCACGAGACGAGGCGGTAGGGCGGGCCGGGCGTTTTGCTTGAGACCTCCTCATCTTTTGTGATCGTGGAATTAGAAACGTTTTGCAGCTCACGGATGGAGGGCGGGTCGTTTTCAATGTGTAGTTCTCGCTTCAGCGCCCCGCACATTCGTCTGATTTGTTTTGCAAGAGCTTCACGGATATAGGCCGGGTCGTTTTCAAAGTGCGATCCTTGCCTTAGCGCCGTGCGCATTCGTATCAAAGGTAATAACAGTTTCAAGTATTACTTGTGTTGGCCTCCCAGAAACGGTGTTCCGGAACGATTTAAAATTGCCAGGGCGCGGCAGTCATTTGCGTTGTACAATTTAGGATCGTCATGTTGCGACAGTGGCGTTGATTCGCGACGTCGAAATCTCAGGAATGGTGCTTTGGCACGGTTGAAGATTTTCAGACAGTTGTCTCCAAACGTAGCTTTTTTCGCAGCCGCAGTGAAAATAGATCCTTATAGGAGCGTGTGAAGAGAGATTTTGGAGGGCCAGGGAAGGTTTATTGCAACATCGTTGATGCGCCTTGGGTTGGCCTGGTCCTCCTCCTCCCCCTCCTCCTCGTCCTCCTCCTCTCTGCGTTGGGGTGCCTGTGGCCGATGGCATCGCTTCCCCTTCCTTCGCTCGGGGAGCGCGGCGGATCCCAGTGTGACTGCGCAGCTTCCTCGTCTCTTGATCGGCGGAGCTACTCGATCGGCGCGCCCTCCCCCTCCCCTGAGATCCGACGTCGCGAACAAGTGCAGCATCGAATGCAATCATGGCCCGGCCCCGGACCCCATGTCTCTCCGCCACTTTTCGAGCCGGATCGATCTGCGAGGACCACGGGGTACCCTTGCATCCTTGCCTCCTCGGTCCATCCTTGGCCCCTTTCGTTGGCCTTCCGAGGCCCTCCATCCTTGGCCTCTTTCGTTGGCGCCCCGCTCGAAAAGCTTCTACGTGGCCTTCCAAGGCCCTTGCATCCTTATCGCGCATCATTACTATACAGTCGGCCCGGATTAGTAGGTCGACCCTGCAAGCTCAAGGGTACCCTTGTGTCCTGTGCCCCGCGACACGTGCCTTCTTACACTCCTATGGCGATGTGGCCCTCGGAGGGGTCTTGTGTCCTCTCGCGTGTCCTGTCTAAGCAGGGCCGACTGCACGGGTCGACTGTGGGAAGACGCAGCCCGGGGGAGAGCAGAGAGCGCCAGGCTCTCGGGGCCCGCCCTGCCAGGTGCCCCCTGCTGCCACCGCGGGGCGGCGGAGGAGAGCCCGCCCGCAGAGCGGCGGCGGCGGAGGCGCCTGGCGAGGCGGGACACGGTGCGCAGGGCCGCCATGCGGCGGCCGCGGCCGTCTTTCTGCCTGCGGGACCGCGGCCCCGTCGTCGTCGCCGTCGTCGCCGTCGTCGTCGTCGTCGTCGTCGTCGTCGTCGTCGTCGTCGCCGTCGTCGTCGTCGTCGTCGCTGTCGTCGTCGTCGTCGTCGTCGCCGTGTTCGTCCTCTTCGTCGTCGTCGTCGTGTTCGTCCTCTTCGTCGTCGTCGTCGTCGTCGTGTTCGTCCTCTTCGTCGTCGTTGTCCGGGAAGAGACGTTCGAGGATCTATGCTCGAGAGTCGCGTTTTGGAAGCTTTCCGTCGGCCTGAGGCGCCCTCGTGGCGGCCGCTGGATCTGCCTCGAACTTCTGGTCAGAGCGCTGCCCAGGAGAGGTCCAGGGGGGAACGACAAGCCCAGATCCCCGACGACCTGATTTTTTTTTTGACCGGTGCGCGGTTCCTCGATCTCGGGCCCCGGGGGCCCGTTGCCGGGACCCAGTGCCGGGGGCCGTTAGTTCTTGGGAGGAGGAGGAGGAGGAGGAGGAGGAGGAGGAGGAGGAGGAGGAGGATGACGAGGAGGAGGAGGAGGAGAGGAGGACGAGAGGAAGGAGGAGGAGAGGAGGAGGAGGAGGAGGAGGAGGAGGAGAGGAGGAGGAGGAGGAGGAGGAGGAGGAGGAGGAGGAGGAAGAGGGGAGCCACGAGGGGGGAAAAACTGCACCAGATGGACCCCGGGAGGAGTCCAGGGACCGGTTTTGACCAGATTTGGCTTCACCTCTCCCAGCCAGTTCAGACTGCCTGGCCGCCTATCGGGGATCCTCCTCGTGGCCGGGGCTCAATCGCCCCGCAGAGAAGCAACATCGTCACTAGGCAGCGTTCCTCCCAGTTGGGCAGCGGCTGTAGGCAGGGACACCTACAGTCGATTCCAAGTGGATCCGCTTCAACGAACGGGGCGTCGGTGCAGGACGAGTTCGGAGGTGAAGGAGGCTCGGGGGCTCCTTGAATCTGGGCGCCACACAGAAGATTGTGAGTCCATGCTGTCGGCTTTTCTGGGGCCGCTTCCCCGCCCCAGGCTGTTGGGTGACAACCATCCTCGGGATGGGGAAGGGGTCGAGGTAGCGGAGGCCCACGTCACTAAGAACTGCGACCTCGGAGGAGAGGGCTCCAGAGATCTACGGCCTGGAGGGGAGACTCAACAAGCAATGCGAGTCCATAGTCCATGCCTTCGCTCAGGGGCGGGCAGGAGGTGGACTTGGAGGAGGAGGGAGACGAGCTCCGAGGGGGATGCGGATGCAAATGCGGATGCCGCTGATGATTGATGATGATTGATGATGGTCATGATGATGGTGATGATGATTATCGATGATTGATGATGGATGATTGATGATGGTGGTGATGATGATGATGCTGATGATGATGATGATGATGGTGATGATGATGATGATGATGATGATAATGATGGTGAGGAGGAGGATGAGGATGATGATGATGATGCTTATCTGGGCGCGAGGATGGGGGGGGGCGCCCAGGGGAGTGATAGGATTGACGTGATGCGTGTGTGATGCGTAAAGATTTCTACATCTTAATTGAGACCAGCCTTCGTAAAACAGGTTTCTCATCAATTGTTGCTCCTCCTCCCCCCTTCTTCCCCGCCCCCCTGCCCCTCACCCACTCCTCCCCCTCCCCGCGTCTCCCCCTCCCCATCCTCCCCGTCTGCCTCCTCCTCCTCTTCCCCCTCCCCCTGCCCCTCCCCCTCCTCCTCCTCCTCCTTCTCCTCCTCCCCATCCTCCTCCTCCTCCTCCACCTCCTCCGTCTCCTCCTCCCACTCCTCCTTCTCCTCCTCCTCCGCCTCCTCCTCCGCCTCCTCCTCCTCTTCCTCCTCCTCCTCCCCTTCCGCCTCCTTCTCCTCCTCCTCCCCAGAGGGTCAGGAGGCTGCTTGACTGCATCTGGGGTTGCCCCTGCCACAGGGGGTTTTGAAGCAAAGGGCTTGCGTTCTGACGGGTGTTCGTTCTTTGTGGGATGGGGCCCTGAGTTTTGGAAGACGGGAATTCCAAGATCCAGCACCCGCACGAACTCAATGCAACGAGCTACATCCATCGAATCCCGCAGAAGTGCGAATGCACGTGGCGGTCAGCATTGCTTCGTGTGTCTCTCCAAGAATGCTGGGTGTTAGCAGGCGCACAGCAGGAGTCGTTGTCATGGGGAAGCGCATGACAGAGCTGGCAAGCACAGACAAGATATGTTTTTCAGTGTATTGTGTTGCACATGCCGCAGGAAGACACGGCAGAGGGGCCTGACGATAACTTCTCCTTGATGTGCAAACGGGTGAGCGCCATCTTCGACAATGCGCGCGATGATTCCAGCGACGACGAGAGCGAGGCAGCGGCAGGTAACTGTCATCTGGAGTCGGGCGGTGCCTGGAAGTGCTTTCATGGCGTTGTCCGCGACCTCGTGCCAGAGCGGGATACAGAAGCTTCCGGCAGTGCATCCAGCGATTCCTTGACTTTCGCTGATACCACAGAGGCGAAGTCCGACGAGGGGGACGACGAGTGCAGTGGAGGCGCCGCAGATGCTAAGTCGGCGAATTCCAACCGGAACAACGATCATTGCAGTGGGCAGGATTTTGCCGAGCACGCCGTCGCGCCACGCGTGGAGGATAGCACGTCTCGCATGCTGTGCAGCATGCGCACAGTCTTCGATCGGGAGCGCCATAGTTCCAGCGAGGATGAGATGGCAGCTTAAGCTGCGCTCGACTCTGGAAGCGGCACCAGGCTGGTTTGGGTGAGCATGGCCACGACGTTACACCACGCGGGCGAGGGATGCGGCGGCGGTGCGATCGAGCAGGATGCACAGGCCTCTCCAGTGTGGGATTGAATCCTGCACTCATGGGGTAGTCGGCTGAGCCTGATGAGCTCGAGCGGGGTTTCATGAACTCGGGTGCGGATGGTGCCGTCTGATTCAAGGTGCTTGCGCCATTCCGCCGAGCCCAGAGAGGCAAATTGGGCAGATGTAAATGTTAGCCATGTTTGCCCGAGCAGGGTAAAGCGCAGGATGACGGCGAAGAGCGATGTGGTGCTCAAAAGGGCAGGGAGGCAAGGTGGAGTGGAAGAGCGGCCAGGGTGTTTGGGAGTTCATGCGACCGTTTCCCCAGCGTTGGGCCTTCTCTTGGGACGGCCTGAGAACACAGCTCATGTATGTTGTGGTGTATTTGACCTCCTTGAGGGCTCGAAGGCGCCGCATGGTGATGTGGAGTCGAACCGCCCTGATAGGAGTATTGGAGGGTGAGGGGCGTTGAGAGGATGAGCCTCGATTTGTCAACCTTGTTGATCCATTGCTGGAGTGTCAAAACTAGGAGGCTGCAATACTTGAGCCCGCACAGCGGGAGACACGGCGGGCACTCAGGGACAAAGCTAACAAGCAGCTGTAGCAGTGAGTATTGGGGTCATGGCCTGGACACTTGTGTCACCAACTAGTTGGACTTGTCTTGTGGCCCTCGTGGGGCCGTGCAGGCTCTTTGCTGGAGCTCTCTGGGGCTCTCTCTGGGGCTCTATCTGGACTTTCTTTGTGCTCTCTTTGGGCCTCGTGGGATCCTCGTGCCGGCCCATCAATGGTCTCGGGATGGTTTTTAGGGGCTTACGCGCAACACATGCACGGCATGTACATGAGACACGCGTGTACATACAGCCCCTCGCATGCACACACTCGCATACACACACCATTCAACGCCAGTGCACACGCCTGGCGTGTTCACTGCATCATACACCCAAGACGTATGCACAACCAGGCTCGCAGGGCGTGGCAGGCGTTGCATTTCCCCGACGCCACAGGGGGGGCGCTGGGGGTGGCGCAGGGCGTGGCAGGCTTGGCACTTCGTCGACACCACAGGGGGTGCGCTGGGGGTGGTCTCCCTATCCGTTGCAGGATCGCAGGGCGTGGCAGGCTTGACACTTCCTCGACACCACAGGGGGTGCGCTGGGCGTGGTCTCCCTATCCGTTGCAGGCTCGCAGCGCGTGGCAGGCGTGGCATTTCCTCGACACCACAGGGGGTGTGCTGGGGGTGGTCTCCCTATCCGTTGCAGGCGCGCAGGGCGTGGCTGGCGTGGCATTTTCTCGACACCACAGGGGGTGCTCTGGGGGTGGTCTTCCTATCTGATGCAGGCTCGCAGGGCGTGGCTGGCGTGGCATTTCCTCGACATCACATGGGTGCGCTGGGGGTGGTCTCCCTATCCGTTGCAGGCTCGCAGGGCGTTGCTGGCGTGGCATTTCCTCGACATCACAGGGGGTGCGCTGGGGGTGGTCTTCTTGTTTGTTGCAGGCTCGCAGGGCGTTGCAGGCGTGGCATTGCGCATAGATGGTAATGATAAGCAAACGCATAAGACTTAAATTAAGTTTGTGGGGTCCTCGGTAGCGTAATTGGGGTCGCGTGGGCGGTCTCGTGGGCATCCTGGAGGGGTGCTGGGCCGTCTTGGAGCCATTTTTGGGCCATCGTCGAGGCCACCTGGGAGCCATTTGGGGCAACCTTGGTGGTTGGGGGCATATCTGGGGAACCTTCTGGAAGCTTCCGGAACCATCTCGAAGGCTTGTGGAAACGACAAGGCGAGATGCCAACATCAGTTTTCCAACGAGTGATTTGAGGTTTTGCGCGCGCGCGTGTGTGTGTGTGAGAGTGTGTGTGTACGTGTGTTCTTGTTCCATCTTGGGGAACTCATTGGACAGCCTTGAGGTCTCTTCAAAGCCTCTTCAGTTCGTCCAGAGGCCTCTCAGGCGACCGTTTTGGGGTGCCGATCGGCCGCTTCCGATCGCAACCGAATGAATCTGGTATCCGAAGATCTGGGTCTCTCACGCCTCCCCACCCGCCTGGCGGATGTCCACCGTCGCGCCCTGGAGTGCGAACCCCGTGCCCTGCCTCGCTTCGCTCAGCTGCGGTGCCGCGCGCCTTCGCCTCCGCGCTGTGAGGTGGGCCGCCCGATCCTTCTCGATCCTCCCCCTCCTCGACCATCCTCGATCCTGTGCGGAGACCCGTCTTCCGAGGGAGGAAAGTACACTGACCATGACTAAGACGTCGCGGGATCTTGTCGACGCCGTCCTTGGGAGTGGTCCGTGCTGGCCGTCGCCGATTCGAAGGGATCATCCACGGATCGGTGCTGACCAAGATCGACACCACACTTCTACGTGCAGTCGATGATGTAGTGTTGAGATGATGTTGATGATGTGTTCTGAAAGTGCGTTCAGCTGCAAGGGCCGGTGACAGATGAGGTACGAGCTGGGGAGGCCTTCGCCTAAACCGGTTAGTAGCATCGCTTGGGAAGCGAGTCTGAACATACGGGAGCGCTGCTCCGGCGGCACCCCAACATACCAATACTGTTTGTGCGTCGCCCCCCCAGGGGCGACGCACGCACCGAGAAATCTTACAGTATATGCGTCGTGGCGGGCGCTTTCTGGCCACAACGCTCGGGAAACGATCTATTACATTATGGGTATTGAAGGTTCTAGATGTTCGGGTCGGACGGAAGTCTCCGAGGAGAACATCTAGTACTAGAATGTCCTTGTGCGTCCCATGCCACTGGCTCGTTCAGCCGAGCGTATTGGAAGATCACATCCGGTCATGGTCGCCGTTTTCTTCCCCTCCACTGCTGGCGCTGCCTGGCTCGCCCTCGCCGAGGGCGCCCGCCCGTGCGGCCTAGGCCCGCGCGCCGCGGCGTGGGGTGGGGCGTGGGCCCGTCCCGCACCCCGTGTGACTCGGGGCCCCCTAAAACTCACCGAGCGCGTTCCACTCCGAGCAAAGTGCCTACGTACTCGCAAACGTCCCAACAAACAGGTCTGCATCGATGTAATGGGTCGTAAGTCCCCCATGGCGGATCCAGGCCATTTGCGAGTAGTTACACTGTGGGTAGTGGAGCGGCGCTTCACTACTCACAGTGGAGACCGTTTGTAGAAAAACGCGCTCCACTGGAGCGCCTTTGTCTACAAACGGTGCGGTGACCGCGCCGTGTGGTGAGTCAGCGGGGATTCGGGATGTCCACATCGTGTGGTGAGTCAAGTGGGGTTTTCGAACGTTTTCGTCGGTGCCTGAGGGTGTTCCTGCCTCGGGATGCGTCCCAGCAGCTGCGCCTCGCCGAGAGTATGTTCCTGGGGTGCCCAGATCCTTCCGAACCGCCGCCATCGGCCCGAGTTACGGCCTGGGAGCCAAACGTTCAGAGAAAGGCCAGTGTGGGGCTGACCGCAGGGTTTTGAGACCTGGGCCGTTCTCTGAGGATGCATCGGGTGACCAGGGCCTCCGGGCTCCGCGAGGCCGTGAGGTGGCGGGCCGTGCGGTGAGGCACTTCGGGACTTCGAGGTCACCGCGCGGTCTGTCACCACGCCGTTTCGGGACCGCCAAGTGTCGGCCACGCGCTGAGGGGTGTATGGGGGAGGGGGGAGAGGCTTCTTAGAAGGAGGTTGTTCCTTAAGAAGGCGCGGGCCTTTGTGTAGATGTAAGGCCCGCGCCTTCTAAGAAGCAGCCTCCCTCTAGGAAGGCTTCCCCCCTCCACCTACCCCCTGATGCGCGCCGCCAAGAGGAGGTTCGAGGACGGGAAGATTGAGGACTTCTTGCAGGGTCCAGGAGCGCGGGAGGATCGGAGACACGCTTCGAGGGCTCCTGCGCGAGTCAGGGGAGCACGGAGTCGCTGTGAAGCCAACCCGCAGGCTACTTCCCCCCACAAGTTTTGATTTTTCGAAGAAGAGTGAAGCCACTCAGACAAAGGGGGGAAACTCTGGGATACACCCCCTTCGAGAGCTATCCGGACGCACCCGCCTACCAAGGATGGTCGCCCCCGTTGGTATATCCCAGGGTTGGGCCCCACAGCTCTGGTCCAGTCGAAAGCCCCACGAAGTCTGGGATAGGGGGTCCACATGTCTCCTGTCATGCCCTCCCGTGGGCCAGCGGGTGAAGGGGCGGCCAGAGCGGCAGCCGCGGCCGCGGCCGCGGCCGCGGCCGCGGGCGCAGCCACGGCGGCGGAGGCAAGGGGCAGGCAGAGAGCTGGGATGGAAGGGGGGAAGGAGCGCAGCAGGAGAAGCAGCAGCCAGCAGCCAGCAGCAGCAGGCAGCAGCATCAGCAGCCTCAGCAGCCAGCAGCAGCAGCAGCAGCAGCAGCAGCAGCAGGATGGTCGACGTACCCCCTGTTGCGAACGGGTCCCGACGGGCCCGGGTTCTGTGGCTTCGTGGGTGCCTCCGGGGGCCCTCGAGGCGATACCGTCCTCTCGGCGCCACGCTTCGGGAGGGTCGGGCACGAACTCTCGAGGGTGGGATCGACTTCAGCATGTATTCAGACCCCCTGAATCGATTTGTTGGTCGAGTCCATGGCTGATGCGTAAGGCGTTCGTAGATCGACAAACCCCCTACGTATGGCTCGACGAGGAAATCCATGCTGGCCTCTGTCGACAAACCCCTTACGTATGGCTGGGTAAATCCCTTCGAATCCATTCGACAAACCCCCTACGTATGGCTGGGCAAATCCCTCCTGTCGCCGCTCCCCGACTCGAAGACCTCCGAGGGCGGCGAGGCCTTTTCCTGCGCAGGGGCAGCGTCGAGGGCCTGTACAGGCTCCGGAGGGGGGGGGGCGGCACCTATAGGCCCCCCGACAGAAGGGCCCAGCGCCCACCCCCCGCCCGAGAAGGGCTGGCCCCGCAGTCGGGGCCGAACGGGGGGCCCCCTGCACCCCCAGCTCTCTCTCAATGGGGGGTGGGTTTGAACCCCCCCCCTCCCATCCCCCCGATAGAGGGGCCCATCGCCCACCCCGCCCGGGAAGGGCTGGCTCCGCAGTCGGGGTCGAACGGGGGGCCCCCTGCACCCCCAGCTGTCTCTCGAGGGGGGTGGGTTTGATGAATCCCCCCCTCTCCCATCCCAGTGGCAACCGCCGACGACGGCGAGCGCCGGCGCCGGCGCCGGCGCCGTCGGGCAGCGGCGACGACGACGACGACGACGACGACGACGACGACGACGACGACGACGACACGTATCGCGGATCCATCAAAACGATGATGTATCGCTCCCCATCAAAACCGCGAGTGTTGCGAGGGCCTTTCGCGAGTCAGGGGGGCAAGTTGTCGCCAGGATGATTCGCCATGAAGCGAGCGGGTCTTGATGACACGGGGCCTGAGCGTTGTCGCTTCTTTACTGGCCTTGTCCAGGTGTCCTCCACGGGTCCCGGGTCCGTCAGAACACGGTTCAGGACGAACACTCGGTTCTGGTGAAAGGGCCCCCAGGATCAGCCTGGTTCGAGCCAAAAGGAGTCATGATAGTGATACGTGTCAAGACCTCCACAGCCCGCGCGGGTGGAGACACCCTGGCGCCCAGCACTGGTACAGTCGACTGGCCGAGTACGCATGGCCGAGGGCTGCTAGAAAGTCGGGCACTCCCAGGCCTCATCCCGAGTCAACCCAAGAATGACGCGATGCTTGCCCTGTTGTGACAGGTTTCAGGAGGGGAAAAACACACAGTCACAATTAATCGTCGATTCCAGCGAAAATATGGGAAAACATGGGAAGAGAAAAGGGGAAGACAAAAACCCAGAACATATGGAAAAATGTGGTGAATCTTGTTATTTGTGTGTGCTTACCTTTGTGTCCCAGGGCCCCTAGCTTGTCCTGTTGCGTGAGCCCCGTTCTCTGTCGGGCCTCCGGGAGGCCTCCCGTCGCCGCTGCTGGATTCGCCTCGAGACCCTGGCCTTAAGTCGGGACTGTCCTTATAATGTCTAAACACGGTTTTAAAAAATGTTGCCCCCCCCCCTGCCCCCCCCCCCCCCGGATCCCGACTGCCATTGGTTCGCATCCGAGTAACTATCTTTAATTTGTCCCTCCTGGAAGAAATCCCACGGATGCCGATCGTCGATGCCACTTGTATACGCCTCGGCACCAGGGAAAATGCCGATGGGAATGTTCCCGTCTTCCGATCAGAGAATGAATTTTTACATTGGGTTTTGCAATTGGGTTTTGGAGTTCAACGTCGCTCCCGTGGTATCCAATCTATCAGCGGTATGCCGCCGCCGCGCGCGCGTTGGCGATTGGCATTTGGGTGTTCAATGTCGTATGTCCACATGCGGATGTTCCCGTCATCCGATCCGAGAATGATTTTTCACATTGGGTTTTCGCCGTTGGATTTTGGAGTTCAACCTCGCAACAGTTGAGTAGAACTCATCAGCGGCGTGCCGCCGCCGCGCGCGCGTTGGCGATTTTGCATTTGGGCATTCAGTGTCGCGTATCTACATGAGAATGTTCCCCTTGTCCGATCCGAGAATGAATTTTTACATTGGGTTTTCGCCATTGGAATTTGGAGTTGAACATGGCTCCCGTTGTATAAAAATCAATCAGCGGCATGCCGCCGCCGCGCGCGCGCGCTCGTTGGCGATTGGCATTTGTGCAGTCAGTGTCGTATGTCCACACGGGGATGTTCCCGTCTTCCGATCAGACAATGAATTTTTACATTGGGTTTTCGCCATTGGGTTTTGAAGTTCAGCGTCGCTCCCGTGGTACACAATCCATCAGCGGTATGCCGCCGCCGCGCGCGCGTTGGCGATTGGCATTTGGGCGTTCGGTGTCGCATGTCCACATGGGGGTGTTCCCGTCATCCGATCCCAGAATGAGTTTTCACATTGGGTTTTCGCCATTGGATTTTGGAGTTCAACCTCGCCCTAGTTGAATAAAACTTATCAGCGGCATGCCGCCGCCGCCGCGCGCGCGCGCGCGCGCGCGCGCGCGCGCGTTGGCGATTGGCATTTGGGCATTCAGTGTCGCATATCCACACGTGAATGTTCTCCTTGTCCGATCCGAGTTTTTTATACATAAAAAACATTGGGTTTTCGCCGTTGGAATTTGGAGTTGAACATGGCTCCCGTTGTGTGAAAATCGATCAGCGGCATGCCGCCGCCGCGCGCGCGCGCGCTCGTTGGCGATTGGCATGTGTGCAGTCAGTGTCGCATATGCACATGGGGATGCCCCCGTCTTCCGATCAGAGAATGATTTG